CCTCCTCCCCCAGCCTCAAAGCCTTTGGGGCCCTCCAGGCCCGGGACTACCGCAGTGTCCGATTCCTCCGGCCCCTGGAGAGCGCGGGACCGTCCCCAGCTCCCAGGGCCTCGGGGCTCCGCCCGCCAGTGCCAAAGCGCCCGGTCTGGGGCGGAAGGAAATGGTATTTATTGTTCTCCCGGAGACCGCGTCTCCTCGCGCCTCCGCCCTGCCGGCAGTTGCAGTGTAGACGACCTGAGAGCCCCGCCTGGGGCCGTGTAGATACTGTAGATATGTGCAGATACTGTAGATACCGCGCCCTGCCGATTCGATAAACGGTGGTTTCGCCTCTTTTAGAAGCTGCCTGTGTGTCCGTTTATTTGCACCCCACTTAGATAGATGGTGCGGGGAAGACTTGACTTAGATGTGACTTGTGGACTCCCAGCTCCAGCTCCAACACCCTCTCTTCCAAGGCTTCGGAGTGGAGCTGTCCTCTGCCTCTGGGCAGGCCTGTCCTTTCCTGAAGGGCTCGCAGTGGGCCAGCGTCATCCCACCTCCCCAGAGCTGGCAGGACCCACACCGCGTGTGAGCTCTTTTTATTTAAATCCTTCACTCCTGCAGTTGCCTCTACTTTGGGACTTAGGCCTTCTCCCTGCCGATTTTTTTCAGAGCTCATCCCACATGCTCTTCCAAAGAAACCGACTCTAATGACTCTAATGGTCGTGACTGTTCACTCCCTCTCCACCCTGGGAGAGGGGAAAGCCCTTGACCCGGATGGGATTGTGAAGAGACAAAAACAGGCAGTTCTGCTCTTGTAGCATTTCCCTGGCCTGTCCTCAGTCCGGGCCTGCGTTTTCCCCTGTTTGTTGACTTTATTCGCCCCCACGAATGACCTGGATGGGGGGCCACAATGACAATGGTCATGAGTCATCTTGAAACCCATCTGTGAAGCATTTTTCCCAGGCCAGGTGGCTGAGGGACCTCTCCCCATTAACTCAACACCAGGGATGGGGCCAGAGGAACCCTTTGATCCTTCCCTTCCTGAGTCCAAGCAGGAAAAGCTGACAGCCGGTCAACAGTCAATGTCAAGGCTAGCCTGGACACAAGATGAACGGAAAATGTGCAAGGCCAGGTCTGTCTCTGCCCTTCTGTGCCTGTTTCAGTGTGTTTGTGGCAATTGGCTGCCTGGCTCCTCTCTTTCACGCGGCAGTGGCATTCCGGGTAACACTTCTCCGTGGACACACCCAGGCACTTTCAGATGTTACCCCATACTGGACCTCTTGGCTGTGTTTGTGCTGGTAGGCAGAGTGATAAAGTAGTGATTGAAGGCAAGAACCGTTCCCATGAAGCCAGTCTAAAAAGGGAGGGACGGCCAGGTCCACTCAAAGCCTCCAAGGGCATCTAGCAACAGGGCATGACGGTGCCTGCAGGGGCTGCCCAAGTGGCCAGCAGGGCCCAAGGACAAAGATTAGGGAAGCTCTGTAGATGACCCTTCCCAAGTTCTGCTGCCCACCACGCCCCTGACTGCAAACCTCCCTATGGGTTACCCGTGTGTGACAGTGGCTTTCTGCTTGAGGCACCCCGTTACCCATTTGCACTGTAATCCCCCATCTCATCTGTCCGTCTGTCTGTCAGTCCATCCATCCATCCAGGGAAAGCCAGGGACACAACTTGTAGGCAGGAGTAGGAGGCTGGGGTTTGCCCTGAAGAGGGCACTGGTCACATCTCAGCCCCTTCCTCGATGGAATGCAGGTCCTCCACACAGGAAGAGCTGTCATTAGACCTCAGCTTTGGTTTTGTTCAAAGCTGAAGTGAAGAGAAGCCATCCCTGAATGGGTAGCAGTGCCAGTGGTTGTAAACAGGAGCGGAATATACCGCAGAGTGCAGGGACCCGGGATAGGCAGCTCGCGGGCCTTGTAGAGATAGATGTCCATGCTGCCACTGTGACAGCCAGTGCCACTGCCACTAGCCGCATGAGGCTGCATACAGTTGAATGATTTAGAATAAAACTAGACATTCGAGATGCCAGGTATGCTGGCTTATGCCTACAATCCTAGCTACTCAGAAGGCTGTGACAGGAGTTTCACTAATTCAAGGTTATCCTGGTCAACTTAGCAAGACCTTGTCTCAAACTTTAGAAGAATAAAGGCCTGGAGATAAGAAATCTCAGTGGTTGGGGCTTGCCCAGCATGCAGGAGGCCCTGGGTTCAATCCACAGCATTTCCCAAAAGAATGAAAATTCAAGTCTTGGGCTCTGCTCCAAGTGTGGATCGGCTCAGATATTGAAGGTCACTATACTGACCTTGCAGTTGAAGGCACACTCTGCCCTGGGTAACAGTCCTCAACCCTGTGGATGAGTTTGTCTGCAAATTCTTGTAAATAGCAGAATGCACTCCGTGGTGTGTGCGTGGCACCCTCTCCTCCGCATTCATCCTTGATCCAGTGCTCAGTGAGCACCCACAGGTGCTGTCTGCCTGCTGCCCATGTGACATCCTCAGGGCAGCTGCCTCTGGTCAGCCTTGACTGCCCTGTGAGATGGCTTTCAGCAGTTTCCATTATTTGACTGTGGATCCGAATATTTATGTTCACCCCCAGTACAATCATCACCTCCAGAACTGTGTGAGAGAAATTTCCATTGTTTATAAGCCACCTGGCTGGTAGTAATGTGTTATAGCCTGAATGGACAGAGAGAGATGGTCTTTTCCCTCTGAACAGGCCTGCCCTGCCTCTGTAGGCTGCTATAGTATATGGGACTGGGGGATCTTCTCACTCACAAGCACCCCAGCTACTGGACTTCTCAGAATCTTCCTCAGGGGTCCTTCAGTGGTGCCCTCCCCTGTGTCCTGGCTACCTGGATGGCTAGGATGAAATTTGGACCAGAAGTTACCTCAAAGAGTCCAGACTCTTATTAATCCTTCAAAACCCTGCAAAAAAAAAGGGACATCCAACTCCAGAAATAGATAAACTCTTGACTTAGTGAGAGAGGATGAGATCAGGCCAAGAGCCACATGCAGCCGGCCTGCCATCTGCTCAACAGTGGCACCTTTGTCTAAGAGAGGATTCGAACACTGCTCTGTGCGCAGGGGCTGGTTACACACTGTCCCCCAGGTAAGCGTTTGGGGAGCACAGCTCAGGAGCACTCTGGGATTCAACTGCAGGATGAAGGAAGTCTGCTTGGGAGTGACTCAAGCTCCAGAGAAAAAGGAGACCCTGGCCACTGTGGGGCTCCAGCCCTGGCCTGAGAGCACCCTCCAGCTGGGGAGGTCTGGGCGGCGTGTGGGATCCCTGCGCTGACAGCTGTGTGGGGAAGAGACACTGCGCTCCAGGTGTGCTGCAGATCAAAGCAGCCGTCCCGCCGAGCCCAAAGCTGCCGAGGGCTAGGCAGACAGCGTGAGCAGGGTCTGACCAACAATGGCTGGCCGTGATGGCAAAGGACGTCTCGGTGATGCAGGCGGTGACAGCGCAGCCTACCTGGAGTAGCCCTGGTTCTAGAGGCCCTCTGCCTCAGTTTCCCCTTCGTGCTGTACTTCTGACAGGAAGCTGGCTGTGAACAGCCGAGAGTTACGTGAGCCTCTGGAACACTGGGGAATTAGTGTTCTACCTTTCCTCTCCACCCCCACGAGCCTGGGTTATCCAAAGCATTTGCACCATTCTGCACCCCGCTCCACTCCTCAGGCCACCTCTGCATGTCACCCCGGGCCCAGCCGCAGAGCAGGTGGGGTGGTGGCCCCAGGGCCCGCTGTGGTGGTGTCTATCCCTGGTGAGGATGGATGGGACCTTT